ATACCATCATATTAATATTATTAAATAATAGATTAATTAATAAGTTTCATAAATTCTGTTTCCTTTTAGACATAATACATTTGATTAAACTATTGTTAGTTGTAATACAAATGTACTATACTGAATATTATACCATTTRCGATCAATTTTCTTATTACTTAATATTTTAGTAAGAATGAATTGTTAAATAATAGTAATAAAATATTAGAATCATTTGTAAATCATCATTGATATTGCATATTTGCATATATTTTATATAATAGCCAGTATTCAAATATTTATTTTTGATGTATTAGCAAAGAGAACATTGTTTTTATTATTAAGTTAGTATTACTAGTATTTTTTAAATTGTGATATTTTTAGATGAAACTTTGGCTAGAAAACTACAAGAAGAATCTACAGAAGAATGTTCTTCCAGTAGTTCAAATCCCTATATAGTAAGATATAATAATAAAAAAAAGACATTAATTTTGCCACAATTAATAAGATATTTTAATTTGTATTTACAGGGAGAATTTACATTTTCTGCAGTTTTAACAAAAAAATTGTTGTTGGAAAAATTTAAACATATTAATTCCACACATGTTCTAAATGTTTTGCGTGCTAAAAATTATAAATATCATGTAAATAAGTAAATTATTTAATACATATGTTATGAATTTAAATCTTAAAATTAAAATTTTCCCTAGGAAGCAAATGAATTTCTAAGTGAGGCATCTGGAATTAAACATTCGTTAAACCAAGACACTCCAACTATTCAAGTAATAAGCATTCATTACTCAATAACTAATTATGTTTTAATATGTTAATATAGTCACATATGTTAAAATATTTTATATTTTTCCTGTTAAATATAATGTAGAAATGTTGTAGGAAAATGAAGGAAGTTGTGTAAATAGGGTAGGGCATAATGCATCCAATAATGATCAAGATTATATAAGAGAAGCTCAAGAACTTTCAATCAAAAGACAACAGCTTTTGCAAAAAGCTAACCAGTCTTTAAGTGCAAAACAACATCCTTCAGTCACTGCGCATTATTTAGAGAGAGTAATTACACATCTTAAACTTAATCTTTGGAAAGTTATAAATGRCCTGATTTAATTATGTTTACTGTATAGGCCGACATTGTTAAGCAAAACGAAAAACATGCTAAAACCAAAGCTCTTGTAGATATGGTTAAACAAAATGAAAATGCCACTTCCTTAGATTTACACAATTTAACAGTAATGCTAGTTCAATGTATTTTTTATAAATAAAATGTATTAAATGTTATATTTTGTAAGGTTTCAGATGCTATTTTAGCACTAGATATTTATTTGGATAATCATATATCAAATTTGAAAAAATATTATGGAGGAAATAGAGGTAGACAACTTACTATTATTACAGGCCGTGGAAAACATAGTCCTAAGGGTATTGCTCGGATTAAACCCGTTGTTGTAAGAAGACTTCTTGATAGACGTTTAATGTAAGATGGTATTTTTAAATATTATTTAATCATAGAATTCAATACAATTTTGTTAAAATTTTCTTTCAGGTACTTGGAACCTGAAGTACCAGGGACAGTTATGGTTATTATCAAAAAGAATTCTTTGCTCAGTTCAGAATTTTAGAAGTATGTTTAGATCAGTATATTTATTAATGTTAAATTAGATACTGCTTACATGTATTTAAATACATAATTATAGTTTTTTTCATTGACCTTTTTTAACTTTAATCGTTGATTACTCTAGTTAAGTGAATAGTTTCATTTGATATCCTAATAG